CCAGTCTTGGTTGAGTTTTCGTTTAGTGAGGAAGTCCTCTCCTCATTCGTTTCCAGGAGAGCAGATGATACGATGGGGTATTTTGCACCGTCCGTTTCACTCTGAGGTTCCAGTCATGCTATCCGAGGATGACCCTTTCCGAAATCCGCGGAAAAATCGTGACAGAATCGGCAGCGGGAAGTTGATCTCGCTACGGACGTGTGATCAATACTTTAGGCATCAGGAATCAAAAAGGGATCCGAGATGAATGGGGAATTCCAGTTGACTCAGTGTCAGGGGACGAGACTTGTGATCATCGGAATCAGTGCCGGGAATCATGTCATCCGGAGAAAAATAGACACGCGAAGGACCTCCCGGATACCTCTTCTCAGGGCAAAGTAGCCGAATCCCTCCAGGTTTAATCAGGATTTTCACCTTAGCTCTCTCTAGGAATCCCTCTGTGCCCACGATGATGCTGATCGCAGTCGCGATGTGCGCTCCGGCTCATTCCACTATAGTTCTCGAGGAGACGCTCCCAGATTGACGGAGAACGAAGTCTTAACACCGCTTGATCTGTCCGTTTATTTGTTTTGATCTGTCTTCAATGCCTGCCACAGAATTCGTCTCCGGTGATCACTGTATCGAAAAGCTCTATCAACCTGAGTTCTTGCAAAGGATCAATCAATCCAATTCGGCTCTCGCAGACTTGTATAAGCCGAGAAGGACAGAGACGACGTCACACTAACAGAAAAGACGCGTTGGCAACGATTAGTTCGTTCTGCTTTTCGATTCTTTCCTAGGATCTTCTTGGGGACACTCTTAATTTCAATTGGTTTGCTTCCTGCCTAGGTGAGATTGTGTATGTTGAAACGGAATTCTTCCGTGCCTTCGGTGCTTGTTCCCGATGAACAAACGCCGATTGCCTCTGGGTGAGTCATTTGTGGCTTGGATTCGCCCATCGAGTCGCGCATCCAAAAAGTCTGCGGCTCCATCAGTGCGACGCCCATCAGGTATATTTTTCCTTGTCTAGAAGGTATCTCGACCGTCGGTATCCAAGGTCGTCGTCAACGACGATGACGGCAACAACGTCTAGAGTCAGGAGATCAGCCAAAGCAAGTGAAAAAGTTCGGCTGCGAATAGCCCTCAACATCACTGAGGTATAAGGACGCCAAATCTAGAATGCGCCAGTCACGTGACCCTCGAAAGGTTCGCAGTGCCGCCCAAGAAAGACGTCAAGTTGGTCGTTACTTAGAAAAAGCGAGATAATCTCTGAGACTTCTGAGCGTGCCTGCAAGCCTTCTTACGTTGGAGAATGCCAGACAGGGGCTGCCATCAAGGGGTTTCGATACATGGGTCACGGTATGCTGACGACCATGAGTCAGAGTGTTCTGGATTCGGACGCTCCGTCATGGCCCACGGTCGAAGCCAAAGTCTTCAACAAGGTGGAACTGGGAAAGGTCCAGCAGAGAATTTCCTTCGACTTCCCCCTCGCAGGATATGCGAGTCTATTTTCAATTTGTTCGGATTTGGCTACTCTGTCGTGCTGGATCGTCCGCTCAGTGTCACCGCTTTTCAATCATAGTATCACCGAGACTTTGGTCTTCCCACGAGGACGATGCGGCCTCGAACTGGTCTATCGAAAAATCTATTTGAAGACAAATATGATGCATGATGAAAGTCGTATCGTAGCGAAGGACATAAATCCCCTCCGTCAGCTCATCTCGTTCGTCTGTCATCGACGTTTACGCTTCGTGTCTTCGAAATCAGGATGCAGTAGCAAAAACGTCCGCCATTAAAGGCGATTCCGTCTTCTGCACCACCGTTCTAGACCTTGGCGCGCAGCAAATAAATATATATAAATTTCTTATATATATATTATGTATATATATATATATTTATATATATTCTGTCTCATCATCAGCGATGTACTGTAACGGTAAACAGAATCATCTCTCTTCCTGTAGTGGTTTGGTTTTTGTCTCGTTTGAATTGTTGCTTCCACTAGACTTGTGAAAAAGTTTACGCAGTAGTACTTGTTGTTGTTTTCATAGAAGTGGTCGTAATTAGTAGTAGTGGTAGTTGTTGATATTTAAGTAGTAGTAGTAGTGGTAATTGTTATCAATAGTATTGTTGAAAATCAACGAAAAGACCGACTCTGATCCGACCCCGGGAGCCGACTCGACAATACAACAACATCTCAAAACATCAGTCCGCTCTGGAGAAACCGCGGAAGGGGGGGGACTCTCCCGCATCATCTCACCTGCATCATCTCTCCAGGTGGAGACTTACGATCTCGTGAGCGGAAACAGGAAATCAGACTCCAACATGATACTCGGAAAATAATAGCCTATCCTCAGACTGCAGATTGCTGACATGGATGATGATTCGCGTATGGATCGAGAATCGTCGAATGAGTCCGATAAAAACGCTGTCTATGAAAAGGAATGAACTGATTCAAATGTTGATGGATTGATCGATCGATCAATCGATCAATGTCGACCAATATCCAAATGGACTTTAAACGACGAAAGGTGATATTTAGCATAATTTCCGAATTTATATAAGGCATGCATCTTGAACATGAAGATCAATCGATCGATCAATCTATCGGGAATAGATCATTAACAAATCGATGTACGAAAGGGAGTGAGTGGCATGGTCTCGCAACATTTGCACCGTCAAATAGTTTGTTTGATCTTGGCTTCGCGTCCAGTGCTCCGCAGATAATCTTTCTCTCATATCTCGTTTGTCCAATCCAACACATTGTACCTAAACTTGGTTCTAAAGTTTGTGACCCTCGTGGTTGTTCTTGTTCACAGGGTTCTTGTTGTTCTAGTTGGTTAAGGACTTGTTGTCACTGTAGGTCTTGCTCCTCGATGTTGGTGGATGCTGTTGCTATGATTATTATGGCTGGTGCGAAGATCTTAATAGCTGAAGAGCGGTTTTCTTGCTGTGAGACATTCGGTTGATAATCCACGACAGAAGAGTCGGAAATTCTGACGAATTGATGATTTTCGCATTCGTCCTTAGCAACACAATCTGCCGGTGTCTCGTAAAAGTCCAAGGTCGCTTGTCATATTTCACTATTGGATGGTCACGAATCCCCTGCGCCGACGCGGACACCCTGCGGCCAACTACGAAAAATGTTTCAACATGGCTTTTGAGAAGTTTGGCGTTTTAGTTTTTTGAGGTGGATCGATGCCCTCTCTCTCCTCAATTCTCGACTCGCATTCTTTCTCTTTCCTGTGACAGACTATGGCCTTCGTTTTGGAATTGTTCTCGGTTTTCGTAAAAACTCCAAATTGAATCGAAGCGTTCTCAAAAATCGCTCCTTCTGCTCTGCGACTCGATCCCGATCCGCATTCGGGACTTCTCGAAGCGAGCAGTCAACTTCCCGCGTCAAGGCTCAGACAATTCCTTTCTCAAACATTGAGGTTCAAAAACTTGATTCGGATCGATAACGTGGAGCGCTCGATTTGCATTACGAAATGTCGAATCGGATTCCTCTCGAGCTCGTCGGGAGAACAGCGAACTGATGCTCGATAACTGATGCTCTTGCCGCAGGGTCCGATTCGGTTGGGGGGACCTGGCTTAGTTAGCGTACTTTGTTTTTTTGTCTTATCAAGAGGCTAGTTCTTCCGGCGCAAATCTTCGAGGTACATCATGGTGGATCCATGCGGCTAGAATCGAATCGGAATAATTTCGTAGAGTCCCAATTGAGACCCGATCGTCTTGTCAGTGCCGATAATGGTTTCTACTACCACAGGTAAGACCAGAAAACTGGTTTAAGGATGCGGAACTCGAAAACTTGCGCGCCAGAACAAACAAGGTCGCTGAGAGTTCCGGAAATGGAGCTGGTGTTGGTTGCATAGCGAAAATTGATCTGAGTATTGTCAACTTGACAATAGAGCAAACGTTCCGACACAAAGTATTCCTCGTGATAGTGTTCGCAGATCTCATGAAATGCGGCGAGTGTTTTAGCGTCTGGGCACCGTGAACGACGTCTCGAGGCTCTTCGCTCATTTTCTTCCAATGAATTCGTCGGTCAGTCCCGAACTTCAAGACTTTGGCGGGGCGCGATCTGTCGGGGGAGAGACCTCGAAATATCGTTGGTTGGCGAGCTCTCTTTTTCGATGACTCTGTTGTCCTCAGTTGAAGCACAGAAGTTAGCCAAATTAGTGAGCGATATCTGTTTAGAAAAATAAACAGCCGGAGGCCACCACACGCGACCACAATATTACAGGAAGATTCCTCGGGTACACAACATCCAGAGTGGCAAAACATTTAAACATTTTGTGGAACTGTTCTTGTGAACATATTACTGTGACACAGTACTGTGCACACATCGATGGTGCGGAAACATCAGAAAACTTCCTTTAAGTGCTCTCGTAGTGAACCTTAACAACTTTTTTTGCCTTCAATAATAATTCGTCTATGCATAATAGGTAAGTATGCAAATATATACAGACGAGAGCAGACTTCATGAGCGTAGAGGTCATTCAGGTAGTACTGAAGCCAAATGCTTTTTTGTTGTTGTGTCGGAAATTCTCGATGAAGGTAATTATTTATCAGGGCTACGATCACGTTATTCTCAAGATTGTAGCGGCCACTCTGGATGGAGCCCTCAGATAGATCATTCAAGATTTTCGCCGGTCACTCTCTCGATCAGGAATGGGACTTCTCGCAGTAGATTGTATCGATAGATGATACAAATGGGTTTGTAAAAATGGAAAGGGCGAAGAGATTGCATTTCAGGTCAGTAGAGTGTTGTTTGTTTGTCCATCAATCGATGGATACATTTTGTTGCCTGTTGGTTTGTCTGCTTGCCAGTCTGAATGTCATTTCGTTACAGGTTTTGTTGGTCGTACTGTCGTCGATCAGTTCGTTGGTCGGTCCTGTTCCATACTTCAGACAGCAAAAATGCTTTCTCAGGTTCGACGAATCCTTCCGGAGCCTCCCTTTGTTCCGAACGGGTAGAAGAAGTTTGGTGCGTCGTCCTCTGAACGGCGCTTCGCCGCACACTATAGCACGTTGACCGGATAATTCTCTCTACGGTTTTCAGGATATTCGTCCATGTACGGATCGCGATCACACCAATCGTCTTGCTCCATTGCGTAGCCCCGGCTAGGCGCCGGAGGGTAACCGCGAGAGTCCCTCTGGTGCGAGCTGTGACCGTGCCCTCTGGGAGGCGGTTCTCGTTCTGGGGGGCTCATCGGAGGACTGTCGTATCCCTGCGAGTGATAGGTCGGAATCGGCGGAGGTGGTCCTCGCTGTTCGTGTTGACTTCGTCCTGTAGAATGTGGTTGCTGTTGTTGGGAGTAGTATTGATTATAATCGTCACTTCCCGGCGATGAAATCTGCGAAAGGTACGGCAAGGGTTAGAGACTGCAGCCCGGTCGAGACCGTGAGGCTCCGTGTCGAACAATGGCGGGAAGTCTGGCAAATGCACGATGATTCGTTATCTCTCTCGTTCGTTCCATGGTTTCGGGTAGGATCCAAGGAAGGTATTCTAGCTAAGTTCTCGAGGAAGGTTCGTTGCTGAGGAAGGAGGAACTCCAGGGTAATTACCTCAAGGCGTGGGGCGTGTCTTTGGTTGAGGTGGTGGTGGGAATGGTGGTTTGGGTGGTTAGGGGGACTTTGAGGCCTTACCATGTGCGCCCCGGAGCTTGTGTGGTGGTCTATCGGAGATTGAATCGTCGTATGGCGAGTTGGTACGTGACTACTGCTGGCTTGAGGCTGTTGAAGCGATTGCACGATGATGGGCGGATGCGTGGCTCGCCAGTACGCATCAAGGAATTCGGCCAAGTGCTCACATGCCTCGTCTAATTGATTTTCGTCTAATATCACGTCGAAAAGCTCCTGCAACAACAATACCTCGCTTTAGCCTCTCCCGAGAGCATCTCACCGTCGGGGCGATGATAAACACTTGTGTGATGAATGGACGGCGATTTGCCAATTCTGATCACGACGGCTCTCCGAGCTCATAGTCGAAGTCTCGTACCGGAGTGCACTGTGCTAACTTCTCAGCGGCGACCATCTGTACGTTTAGATTGCGACTTTGTGACTTTCCTCGAGACTTGATTAATCGTTGAAGCACTTTTGGCGAGGAGATTTTGACATAAACCATGATAGGCGCCAACGATGTTTTCGCGAGTTGAGATGGGTGGTTAATGGTGTCGCAGTCTAAGACCTGGTGAACGAGAGGAACCGCGTTAGGAATCTGTTGTCTCTCCTTCGGAAACGTCGGCAAAGTCATCTACGAATGCCTCGGTCAATGTCAAGGGTACATCGACAGAAATTCTCAGGTAGATCATCATGATGGATACTGAGGGGATCGTAGAGTCATATCCGGGGGCTGTAGTCCAGAGGAGCCATCGCGAGTCGCTTCGCAACTTACCACAAGCTGCAAGGTTCTGGATAGTTCGAATATACGTTCAATCTCGCTCTGCACTTCAGCTAGACATGAAGATCTGGAGTTGGATCTTTCCATAATGGCTCGTTTGCTAGGGTTATTCAGTAATGACCGCTTCGCCAACGAGATGTCCGCTGTTACTCGAGTAATGATAATTCTGGAATGAGTCAGAGCTCGTGAGGGGAATCGTTTCTCAAGAATAACTGGAAGGAAGAGACGCTCGAGTCTACGGACGTGATCGAATGAAGATTTTGAAGGCTTAGAGCGCGCGAACTCCACGTTACGTACTTCCCTTCGAAGCGGTGCTTGAGGAAATCGAAAAGCGCTTTTTGCATCATATCGGTGACTTCGTAGCCTTTGAGAGATGGCCCAACCAACACGACGGGTCGCATCGATGGAACGACGTCGTACGGAGGAATGTTTTCAGCTTTCTTGAAGAAAGGTTTTCTCTTCTCCTTATTCGGCGGTGGCGTCGTAAGCGACGCACCGACTTTCCCTCCGCCGCGTGCACTATCGCTGTCATCCGCTCCCATCTGGTTGTCAAGGCCATTCTGGTCGGGTGTCGGAGGTGTTGAACCTCTGCAATCATCGAACATTCAGTCGTCGTCTTCATGGAACTCGATGCGGCAGTTCCGGTGCGGGACATATATATTGCATATCGCATATCGAACCCTTGTCCCTCATGTCGTGCACGAATATATTTCGTTGCCCTACGAACCTAGAATAGAGCTTAGTGTTTCTCGTTTGGGTTTGTTGCAGTCGAAGATTTTCTAATTTAACTGGGCTAGGTATAAAACCTATATCACACCCTTCTTTAACTAGACGTCCGATCCACCATTCATTATTGTACTTTTCCTTGATGTGGAGGAAGTCCTTGACGCCTGAAAGACAAGATCGCTAACCTTGAAGGCGTACGACGTCGATTCTCATCGGCGTACATTGGCTCAATCCGATCGTTCGATCCCGATCCATGGTCGCTTCTCAGGCCCACTCGGCTTACCGAAAGAGATGGCGCATCCGTGCACTGGTGAGTCGTCGTCGGCGTTCCCATCATAAGCGACGTTGGTTCTAACCGCAAATGCTACCGCCTTACTTTTGGCTTTCTCGAGTTGCTGTAACGCTTGCCTTTCAGTCTCCCGCCTCAGCGCCTCCCGTTCTTCGTCGAGACTCAAATCTGACGACGGCTGACTGTAATTCGATTCTGCAGAGCCCTGTGGTTCGGGGGAACGATTGTACTCATTAGCGAATCCCCCTCTCATCGAGTTTGGCTATAGGACCGATAATTTATGAACAACCTCATCGTCGAAGGAAACGGAAACGCATGCAAACATTCTTCAGAAGACGGAAGGCAGTGGAAGAAACAGTGAGGAAGGGACGAAGAGCGAATGCAGGTCTAGAAGCGTAAGACACCACAGCTAGACTACTTATAATATACGGGATATCTAAGACATCGAGCACGTTCTCTCGGGTCACAGCAATGCGAAGCGGAACTTTCGAACCTAATCGTGAGTACATAGCTTGAGGATCAACAACCCGACAAGCAGCTGCTGATTCCGCTGCCATAGAGCATGAACGTCGGTCGAAGTGTGTGTGGTGAGTTTTTCGATCCGCTCATGATTTCGAGTTCATTCCTAAATGAAGCCGATTTCATGCGATGATGCACGGTGTTCCCTCGAAACCAGGCTGCCATCCTACGATGGTAGGTGTCCGAACGGCGCCGACCGCCGGATCAGCGCTCAGTAAAGACTCTTCTCGAGCTACTCTTCGACCGAATTTTTGCGAGGGCATCATTCCGTGTCCATTCTGAAGCTTCCAAGTCCGCGGTCACTACCGATCCACTAAACACTCAGCGTGTCGATCAAATTCCTCTCGAGCCGTTTTCTCGTACGGTCGAACGAGTCCGTCAGCGTTCTCCTCAAGTTTATCTCCTCTCTCTCTCGCTCTCGTTTCCGTATTAGTCACAATTCGCATGTCATCACGCAAAACAACAAACAACCCTCGGCCTTCGTTTAGATTTTCCTTCTCGAGTGTTGGGCCGTGTCTCACCTTTGTAAGCAGAGGTGCCCGGTGGCTCCTGTCGTAGGGTTCCCGTCGCATTCTGGCTTCTGAATTGACTTGAGTTGGTCTCAATGTGCGTGCTCGATTCTCGTGGATTCCTTGATTTACTTATTGCTTGATTCGCGCAGATACTAAATAGGAATATCGTCGATAGGATCGCTGATGATGATGGATGGTCGTTTGTTCGGATGCTTTCGAGAGTTTTCGAGAGTAGGCGATTTTCGAGCAAGTCCGCCAGAACGGTCGGGATCCAGCAGGGCGCACCTGCACAACCGGCTCGAGTCTACGTTGAGTTCAAGATTTTTGAGCCGGAGTAGATGATCGACTCGCTGCCGGTTGTCCACTTGCGTCGCGTGCGACAGTGATTCGCTGTCGCTCGATCGAACGATCCAATCGGTGTTCAATGAATTGATTCGATTCAGACGTCGGGGAGGGCACAGGCGAAAGGAATGCAAAGCAAGTTTTATGCTGCTGAGGCTGCCGCTAAGGATTGGGTAGTGTCCTGATGAAATGAGTTCCGGTGTTTTATGAGGGATTTTTGTCCAGGTTAACTTAAACCGTATACCAGCAACTGCAAAAGTCAACAAAGAAATCCCTCACTCAACCTACGAAACTGACAGATAGACAGGTGTATAGACAGAACGCTCTTTTAAACGATACGTCGATACGCGCCGGCCTTCGCGAGTAGGTGATTCGTCGTAGGGAAACATCGAGCGCTTCCTCACCAGCGCCAGCGCTCCTCTATACCGGTGAAAAAGACGGTTTTCCGAGCTTTCGGGCTAACGAACTATGATAGGATAGTCTCATCGACAACACGAGGAGGACACCGTGAACTTAACGGACGTAACGGACACGTCGACGGAACCCAGTACGCTGAAGAGTGTGACGCCGGTGAGGAAACGTGCATATCGTGCGACACAGTCTAGCGAGACGTAGAATCGTCATCACAACTTTCGGACTCGATCGAGCTCCGAGCTGTGATTGGTTCGAGCACGAGCTTTCAACATTCAGTACCGCTACACAAAACGCTGGTACCCGACACCGATTCGAAATGATCAATCATCCCGATTCGGTCTCGAGTTCCCTTTACCTAGAAACTTCGACTCGGGAGGAACCGCGGATCACATAAGCGATGTGAACACTGAAATCCCACTCAAGAACTGACTGCCGCAGCCGTAACGGAAACCGCGCGCTCTCTCATCAATTCATTCCACTACCATCAGGGCATGACGGCGGTTTCGACCGTCGGCATTGTCGAGGAATAATAATGTGAAGAAACATTTTCTCTATAATAATAATGATAATTATCATCATCCTCCTGACCGAGAGTATCGGAACGAGAGTACAATAGCCGGCCGCATTAGTAGGGGGAAAAGAGACAAACGGGGGGCATCCCGAAAAAGAGTGGGGATCAGAGACTGGGTCGGTGAGTAGGTGGCTTGAAAATTTCTAGGATGGATAGCTGATCGGTCGATCGATCGGAAGATTGGATGATAGATACATCGATAGATTGATCGCTCGAACGTCTCATCAGAGGATGGATGACAGTGATAGAGAGAAAGATTTAAGAAAGGAGAAGCATCCCTTATCCGATGTTGTTCATTCGAATGACGATGATCACAGCTGAAGGGTAGGTACTCACCTGCCTAACGAAACTGCTTGAACTATCGGATAGGTTCCCATCCAGCCTTCTTGAACGTTCTCGTCGCCTCGGTGGTAGGTGCGAATACTGTGAATTCAAAACGAATCAGCACTGTTCGGCAACCTTCTCAAGTTCATCCACGATCCGGTGTCTGCCACATTCATTTTCCACGAGGAGCCCTCAATTTTTTCTCTGTCTAAATCAGGCACATCTATCACAGGTCTCGAATGCGAGGAGCCTCGCTTCCCTCGAGCCGCGGATGTCGTCGAACGCTTTCTTCTCAGTCAATGGAAACGAGCTGGTGGCCGAGAGGGAGAACAGGCTTCGGAGACACACAGCTTGCGGGTTCCGACGAGGAGGAAACAAACCAGCCAGCCATCTATCCGGCGGGCTCACGGGCAGGCCGACCAGCCAGATTCTATGAGAAAAAGAAGAGCAACTCACAGCCCAACTGAGAGTGTGGTAGCAGCGCGCACGAGATTCGGGCGCACAGTGAATGCGAATCGCCGCGGTGGTCCGCGGCTGCTTGACTGCTACTCGCAGCTCATAATAATCTTCCCACATGTGCAATGGGACGACGGCAGCGGTTTTTGCTGCACAATTGCGTTCGGTTCTCCGGCAATGCGGAGTGGACAGAGGGATCATGTGGAATCGCCTGTCCCATATTCAGTTTCATTCCGCTCGCTCGTGGTTCTCGCGCACTAGCTGCTGATCACGGTTTTTGTCAGGGAGCTGTCCAGGACACGCCTGGCTCCAGGAAGCTTCAGCCTGGAGTCGAATTTTTCGACTTCGTAGATGCGTCATTGGTGGTCTCCCCGGAAAAAAATCACCGTCGCGCCCATCTCAGATCCAGAGACGTCGAAACCGCACTGGATGACTGACCCGAGCCTCCTCGTCTCGGCCGGTAGCTCACGCGCATTGGGTATGGATTACTGTGAAAATCATCTTCCCCGGGCCCGCGTCGAAAGGATTCCTCAGCGCGCGTAAGAAGCGTGGTCGTTTGATGCAATTTCTCCCCAATCGCACCCCCTCGAGAACTCACCTGCGGTCGGTTCCGAAATGTTCCCGCCTGCGGAATTTCGTCAAGGGGAAGATTCTGTTCGCCAAAAGCGTCGGTGGCCATTCAGACGGGCCGTGACTGGGTGTTGTTAGGCTGAGTGCGGCAAATGGTGCCGAAGTTGACGGGTGCTCAATGTGCCCCCGGGCTCATCGTGTGTGCTCAGGCGATTCCGCCCGTCTGTCAGTCTGCCAGTCTGTCTACCGGTCCTTCGGAGACTCCGGCCACCAGAGTAGCCTGAGTCGGGTCCGAAAACGACAGATCGGAAGCCTCTGTTCGATGTGAAGAGGACGACGACGCCGGTCGACACGTTCTGAGGGCTCGGGGGCCGAGCTCGTTGTCTATTCACTCTGGAACACTCATGCGGACCCACCTCACTTCGGTGGGTTGGGTGTCTCAGCTCGCACTTGACGGCGGCCCGTCCGCAGCGATCACGGGCCACGGGGCCCTAGGGCCTCGCCGGGGGCTGAGTCTGCCGTGCGATCGCCTGCTTGGGCACGGCCAGCCTGGCGAAATGACGGGGTGGTGAGTTCCTGACGCAATGATGCAGTCCGCTGTCGCGAAGTCCTCGGCTGGCTTCCGTTCTTGTGTTCGTTAGGGGGGGTTTCGCTCCGATTCGTAGCAGAAGAACTAAGCACCCGATGGGCTCGCGAGCCACGAGCTCGACGGCTCCCTTCCTCTCTGGCTCGCTCGCTCGTTCTCGCTTTCTATTTTCCGAGCTCACTTCTCGTTGTTGTTGTCATACGTTTTGCTATTCGCTGGCAGCGCTGGATCCTTGTTGGCTTCCAGCTCGGCTCTGGGACACTTTACCAGGGGTGTGTGTGTGTTCAAGTAGCTGAGTGGCACATGGTGTTGCTCTCGGAGACACACTCTGCTCTTTACAGTTCTCATCTGACAACCGAGCACACTGAAAAGCCTGGTAGCGTTATCGCAAGAGAAATGCTGTAGTAATGGCGGTATGTGGTTGAATGGTTCGCAGTCTACACTAACGGGGTCACGGAGGACCCCGATTCCGGTCGCCTTTCGGGCTCTCGTCGCACTTGAACAACATTTGATTTCGAAACGCAAGGCAACAGAGCGACCGATTGTGGAATAAAATTTCAATATGGCGTCCTAGTGGTTTCCTGATGGCCGAACTCTGCTCCTGGCCTGAGCCATCTCTCCTCCACGGCCCTTGCCTGTTCTGCCTCGAGTGTGACGCATGCGCATGCGGCGGCGACGGCACGACCACCGCCACAAGCAGCGATGAGGGCCCGAGACTCGAAAACGGCTGTAGAATGGGGCGAAAGGCCATTCGAGTATTCGAAGCCTGTCAGAGCGAGCACCGACTCCGTGGGCCACTCCGTCCATCTGACCGAACGACGGACCCGAGGATGAGCGGACGACCGCCCGACTGCCTGACTCCTTCGCCTGCTCGCTTGGCCGCTTGCTTGCAGGCACGCATGCATGCATCCGAGCGTTCGGTCCACCGCTCGCTCAATTCGTCTCCCCCTTCACCTAAACAAGTTTGCCAGGACAAATCAATTAGGTCCTCAGGGTTGCGACATTCCAACAACTCTCGCGGGCTGACTTTCGGTCTCTGGTGGGAGCTCCTGTTTTGCGAGCGAAACCTCTCAGGGCTTCTGCTACGCGAAACGCTGTACAAGATTCTTCATCGAACAATCATACCCACCACGATTTAGTCGATCAACTCATCGTGGAACTTCACCTCCACCACAAGGAGCCAGGACGCGACTTCGATGGATTCGACGGTGTCACTAGCAACAGAGATCGTCATTTCTCACTCAGATCGAAATCATGTCAGGGAGAAATCATTCGCGGAACATTCATGTGATGGTCACGAGGCAGGGAATCATGCTGGGACCATCTAATGGACCCTCCGGAGATCAGAGCGCTCCGCGTCCCTCTGAAAAAAAGCAAAGACTCATGTTGCTCCACTCGGTACCCGCTTCTGCTGCACAGGGAGGGCGAACAACATCTAGCGTGCACGCTGGCTCTCGGTGTGCAATACGAAGACCGATCGAGACGCATTGAAGTTTCGCCGTAGAGCGAGAGCTGGGTCTCCTTTATTGCAAGCCGAGCTTATCAAAATTATTCTTCAGATCGAGCATCCCATCGTAAACGTAGACTTCATGTCTTCGTTCTGCTTTAGTATGGTGTGTCTATTGCATTGCAGCCATACGCTCTTTGGGCACGCTCGGAGTGTGAGGACCACCAGCCGATAGGCGCGAAAAGTAATGTGGTCCAACTCCCCCACAGCTCACGGCCTCCATTACGCTCGTCGGTTCTATGCGATTTTATCCGGAGAAGTCACTTGTGGTAGTCGGCGATCGTTAGAGCTCTGCTGCATCCTGGGGGAATTCCCCTTATGAATAAAAGTCTCATGGAAGTATCCAGAGCTTCGGAGCTCCAGCGAATCGATCATCTGCTGTATCGCATAGTAGTATAGCACCTACGCTCCTTCAAACGGGAGGCGCAGCCTGATGCCTTAACCTGCTCACGAGATCGAGGGGGAAATCCAGATGAGTCACAGTCCTCGTCGATATCTAGCTCCGAGAAAAAGTCTCTCCGATCTTTTTCGAATGGTGCAATAAGATCGTTGATGGGCTGATGGGAGCTTGTTCGAAGTCTGGAGAAGGTGCTACATGTATTGATCCGAGGGGAGCCGATCCGGCAGTACTAAGGATCTCGGAGCTAAGAATATCGTCGACCTAAGTATATCTTACGGTAGACCAAACCATTTCAGAGCAAGTAAGGCATTTAACCTTCCGCTTCCAAATCGTGGATAATTCAGGCATGGTAATTCAAACGGTGAAGTGCCGGCAATGAGAGATCAAGTTTCTATCACAAAAGTTCTTTATTTTGTCGTAGATACATCTGATGTTTACAAAGTTAATGCAACTCAGCACTGGCCATGCGGGGTCCGATTCATTTCGGAATGAGGGGCTTCGGAAACGCTGTGCAGCCAATTCAAGTTTCACCCTTTTTTCTTTCACTCCCAAACGAGCTCGAGTCGGAGAGTTCCAGCAACACTGACGTGATCGGCCCTCATTTCCCGGAGGATGGATTCACCCGTCATGTTTCCGAAAACCTCGATACACTCTCAGGTGCCAAGCTTCCTCTTGCAAGCCTCGCCGTTTCCGCTCTACATGGTCGTTCTCCGTCAGAGCTCTGAGTGATCGATATTAGAGGGGAATATTCGGAGTAAAATAGGATAAGGAGAGTTATAATATCTATAATACTGCCCTCGCAGCGCAAATCTGCGCTACATAATTTTAGGAATCTTTCAAACCAAGTCTCGCTATTCAGAATCATCAAACAGGGTCTAAACATAAATCGTTTATATTAGAAACACACTCTCCTCTCTGTGAATACGTTTCGTCGATCAGGCTACAAACTTCCGAAACTGAAACTCCGTGCTTACGCATGTCGTTCGGTCTCTCGAAAGGAAGCGACTCGACCCTCCATTCAAATCATGCTGCGAGTACTCATGCCGGAACGCATTCGATTGGTAGAAAATCCTCAATAAATTATTTACAATATCATTATTGAACCTTATCGGCTTTAGGCACTTCAGCTCCTCGTTTCTCCCGAGAGGATATAAGAAGAGAATCACGCTATATATTCGAGGGGTGCAGAAAAAAAAATGAGGAACAGCGTAAAGGTCCGGTGACAGTGCGTACTTCCGAGGCGTACATTCGAGGAGCGGTATCCGGCAGCCAAACATGCAAAAGTGTCGTGTGTATTCTTCATCTACTCCCTGAGATTGGGAACGATCTCAAGTTCTCAACGACGTGCAGCAACAGACTCGGTGAAAAACAGAATCGGATCTCGTCGCGAATCCTGCACGAGGATATTCAAGTTCAATTTGAAAATAATTCACGAAGGATTGGACCTCGATTCATTCTAAACAGCCAACTTCTCTAAAGTTATAATTACTAATCACGGTACTTATGATAAAATTGAAAAAAATCTTAATAGAGGATAGGTGCCACGTGCTAACGGGTGGCGAACCCGACCAGCAATCGCGATCGTCGATGGCGGTCACAATGATTGGATCGTCGTTGATACATTGTATTTTACACTTGTATGTACAACTAATTGATAGATTCCAAGAAGAGAGAAACGCTTCATCGACCGTGTGGACATCAACCTGTGAGTGCTTGAGATAAATCTTGATAGCGACAGCTACGGCAAAATCTATGCAGTGCGGATGATCGACGTGTACGGAGCGATTCCGATCTGTGCTCAAAATGTACAGTCGACCAGGGACCGGGTGGAAGGTTTGACAATGATCTCTGTCGTCTATAGAATTCTCTTTCGATCTCTTCTCTCCTTCCCGACCGTCTCTCCTCCAATCCGGTGCTTTGGTATTTTTGCTTCAGATTGTCCTCCGAAATTAGCGCTTTCCTTCTGAGTGCGCTCCAGCTGACGGGCAGGGACCCTCGCTCACACAAGACCCCGCTGTTGGCTACGAATAAATAACACTAGGAACGTCATGTGACTCATAACAACGACCGGGCGAGTCGGGGAAAATCAGAGAGAGGCGGACTCTCGATTCCCCTTCCAGAGAGGATAATCCAGACATAAGATCTAATTACTCTTGATAGGCCCAGTCAGATCAAGCGGAGTGGACGGTACGATCGTTTCCTGCGTCATCGTAGCGCAATCTGATGCTTCTTCAGAAGTCGGAGTCAGAACTCCGCTATTCGATTTACGCTCGTCGTCGACATCGATGTCGCTCTCGCAGCTGGATGCGTTGTCCATCGAGGTGTTGTCTTTCTTCAGACTCAGGTCGATCGGGGTGTCCTGTTCCGGGACATCTCCTGCGAACTCTTCATCAGAGCTATTCATCATCAAAGGCTGCGAGGGCACGCCGAATAAAGGATAAATGTCCGACGGTCTCGGCTGTTTCAGACCGCCGGCCGCTTGAGGGAATACCGAGGGCAGATGCAGGAGACCGTTGGCGGCAGCAGCCGCGGCAGCCGCTGCGGCGGCTGCTTGATAACGGGAGGCCAGGGAGTAGGGAAAATCCGAGATTTTGTGCTTTCCACCGAGAAGCGCGGCCGATTGGAAGAGGAATTTCGAAGGAGTCATGGCGGACACGGGCGATACTGGCGAGCTGGGATGAAAAAGAAGGTTCTCTGGAGTCTGTTGCAATTTTTTTGAGACTGGAGACGCTTCCGAAGGGGTTGGACTCCGAGCGGCGTTCGATGTCGTTGTTCCAGCCGAGGAGCTCGGTGGAGGATAAGTCACCGGTGAGAGACTGGGACGCTCGAAGTTCGGTGACGATGGCGATTGTCGACGAGTGAGAGCGTCCACTTGTTGTTCGTATAGAGCTTGCTGCTCGCCGAGCCTGGAGCTCATTTCGGCCTGGTCCTGGATCAGACAATGGATCTTGAACCAGTTCGATCTTCGTCCGTAGCGGGAGCCTGGAAAATAGAAATTTGAGACTTGAGCACTGTGTAAAGAGGAGCTGTCAAGTCTGAAGCATCAAGGTCAATTTATTGAAAAGCGGCCACGAAAAGCAGACACGACACAGAAATAAAGCACCGACGATCGCCGATCCGTCGGTCGGCCGGTCGGGCGTCCGTCCGTCCGAGAGATGGAAACTCGACCTCGGCGAATCAAATGGGATGACTTTTCTCTCGAAGTTCTGCTCACTGCTGCCACGGATTCGCGGATGCCAAAGCTGCTTGCGCGAACCGGCTCAGTCAGACGGTACGCCCAACGCGTACATTACGCGATCGTCGGTTCCGGGATGACCTCACAGTTCGTGACTACCATCCAACCAGACGATGTTCGCCGAACACAGCCAAAATCGCTGACGAATATTCTGTCCATCGAATCACTGATTCATAGTCACTTGCTGGCTGGCTGCTCTGGCGGCCAGCCGTCAGTCTTGCTCTCCAGCATGATTTACCCGAGATTCTGATATGCCATATCTAATTGCGCTGTCCACTCACCACTCTTCGACATTCCGACCAGAAGACATTTCTTCAGTCGACAACTTTTACAGGACGTCCGATTTTTCTTATTGATGATGCACTGACCATTGTTTTTGCATTCGCCTAGTGCCGAGAGGTTGTTGTAGGTCCGACCGAAGAATGACTGAAATAGACGAAAGAAGGGGTCATTCAGAGTGCCGCGGGGAAAGCGAGAGAAACCAGCGGAGACCCGCAGATCCTCCCCTTAATGGAATCTGTCGCCTCGTCGCGGACTTCCTCATTCACAGGGTATTCCAGGCGGGACTGTGTCATCTGGGAGCCTCGGAAGCGATATGGATATCAAAGGGGAGGAGGTGGGAGGATAGTCGACGCTCTCTTTTCTGAGGAGAGTGTCATCCCGATTTCATCCATATTCTTAATGCATGGCTCTGAAACACGAGCTTAATGCCTTCGAACAGGAAGCCTCCGTGGAACGCTCTTGCGCTTCTGAAAGTTGTTCGAGTACTTCCACCTCATTCTTAAGAGCATCAACGGTGGTGAGAGGAGCCATCGACGTGCCAAGTCAGGCCCTCATTTCATCACTGAACGATGATCACCACAGCCGACGCAAAGGTAGATGAATTAAGGGGAAGGCACCTATGACGAAACTTTTCGGAGGGGAGTCTGGTTTTGACTGGTACGGAATTAATCTTTGGCGTTCGACTCGATCTAGTCATCGGCAGTTGCTCGCCGGAGACAATCAAACGAACAGGGATTGCGGCGAAATTTTCTTCTCTTGATCGACAAAGCGAGCTTATGACGTAAACATTCAAAAAAGCCTGCGCGCAGTCGCACGAAGACGATTCTGTAAAAGTGCACTCACAACTCCCACCAGAGCAGAAGCAGAAAATTTGAGCAAACGACATCGAGATGGTTTCGTGGCGGGCGAATCGGCTTCTGCCTCATTCTATGCCTACCTGCCTGCCAGCCAGCCACACGTCCATCTGTCGGTCCTGTGGAGCGATCGCCCGCCCGCCCGCTCGCTTTCTCTTCGCCCGGAGTTGGAAAAAAGAAGCGGCAGACAAAAAGTATTCCGGACGACTTTCTCCCACTCCCTCCGCGACGCGTAATCCAAGGCCGTCATAGCAGCCGATTCTTCATCGACGTAAAACGGCAGATTTGCGGGGTTCGCAATGATTCTGTTTGACAAGTCGCCAACACACAGCATTGTTCCACAGACGGCAGCGGTCACAGTCGTACAAGTGGCGAATCAAGCAACGGATGACGAACGGATGACTGCTCGGACGAATTCCAGAACAGCCTTAGAACCACAGCGGGGACCATAGTTTTATTTCAATTGTAGACTTCCTCTGCCAAAACTCAGCTGCGTGGGCACTCCTCTCCGTCTACGTGCGTTAACTATCAGAGTTTTGAGTCGGATCAAAATTCAGAGAGCAGCGGAGAAGAGTTCCGCTCCGAGCTTTACACTCAGCTTGGTGTCATCATCCGCGTTGGGCTTTTAGTGATTCAGTCATTTCTTACAAAGGTACTGAATGGGTGAAATCATCGGGAATTCCATTTCACTGCTCGAGGACCCTCAAAGGCATTAGAAATCTGTTCGAGTCGAGCACTTAATAGTTTTGCATTTAATAATGCTAAAATGAGTCGTCATATAGGGAGGCTCCGGCGGTGGCCTTCCCTAGTCCACACATTCGTTCCGGTTGCTCTCTGGAAAGGCTATCATGAACTTCCACGATTCGGGAAACACGGCGGGGTGAGCGGGGGCCAGGCCATCGAGGGCAGTTTTTGGAATTTGGGGCTCGGCTGAGAGAGGTCGCGCGCTTCCGCCATTGGGACTCCCATCGAGAGAATCGAGAATCCGGAGCTTCGAGTCGCCTAGCTCTCAGTGGGTCTCACAGTTCGCCTAGTGGGCGCATTCGCCGACGAGGAAGCAAGGAAACTCGGTTTCCGAGCCTGGAACGCTAAACCGATCAAGTACCTAATTCTCGTTGGCACGCCGCAGCGCTACCCCAGTCCTCAGCAACCCTCGGACACCAGGAAGGCACATCTAATGTAAGAGACTTCCCTGAGGTATAGCATCTGCTCGGACCAGTAGAGAATGGAGCCGCCTGCCCGCGACGTGGTCAGTGCTGGCGGTAGCCCATCGGCAAAGACCAAAAGGTCCGCTCAAGAACAAACGGTCCAACGGACTTTGATTCCGCCCGGTTCCGAATCATTATGGTCAGTCTCCACTTCAGAAACTTTCGAACATTGAATGGGAATTCCGTAGGCTGACTTCGACGTTGAGGCGGCGACAACCGCTAGTGGGACTGCTGATGTCATCACGATTCCAGGACTCTGCCCCAAAGAGTTCTGTTTTCAGCATCGCGCGGAGTGTCGCGCCCATCTCGAAGGTCACCCGGCGACGGCGATTCATCGCTGCGTTCCAGCTCCTCTGCTCGCTTAGCGACTCATCGGCCGGCAAGTTGTCCGATCCGTCGACGGTCGCTCTGACTGACTGACTGACTGACTCGCTAACACAATACAGGGTGGATCTTCACTCTGATGACCTTGTCGTTCCCCCGCATCTAACCGCTGGAAGCGCAGAATCAACGGAACCAGTCAAATGGACACAGAGACGTACGTGGACACACATCGAGAATAGTTCTCTGGCGTACGCAATGATCTGATCGCTCATTGAAGTTAGTTCATTTCGATCTTCCGCCGCTCCGCCGTCATATCTCGCCCGCCGTTGTCCCCTCACGACAGAATCGGGAAGCTCGAGGACTTTAGCCATCTGTGGTTCACCAGACGCAGTCTTAAATCGCCGTGTCTTCCATCGAAGGCTGATCTCGGGGTCGGAAACCATCAGAGACTTTCGTTTCCAGGTGTCAGTATGATCATCGCTAATGATCAGCTGATCGGCCGTATCAGCTGATTGAAACGCAAACCCTCGGCTTTGAAAGAGGGACCCTTGCGACTATTCGTGATCACGGGGCTGCGTAAGTGTGGTGCTCATTGAGAGCGATCAAAAACGTCATACGACACCGAGCAGGAGAAAGACTTCCAAAAAACATTCCCAATAGACCTTCATATCAAGTGTCGACGGGAGCTCGCGCGAGAACTTGAAGTAAAGTACGGAAGAAAATCAAACTGATGATGCAGAGAGGGTGGCAACGAACAAATGTAGATTGGGTAAAGAAAGCTAAGAGGAAAACTGTCGACATTTTTTCGTTTTTCTCCCTCGACGGTTTTGTGCGAGATAGTGAGTGTGTGTGGGTAAATATATCTGACCCCGTTGGCTCCCGCTCCCGCTGGCTGAAATGAAGATGTTAGCGTATGAGAAAGTTTCGCGAATATCAGGCAGATATCCGCTCGGTGGAAGGATGCCGCATGCGCAACACACAAAACTCCCCCAACCACCAACCGTCCGAATGTTGATCTTTGCTCCCCGACTGCAGAGTTGACATTTTTGTCTGTTGTCATCAGGATCTGCGCTAGGAAATGTCATCGACAAAATATTTGGCTCCTTCTGGCTCGACTGATCGATGCAAGGGTAAGGATAGAGCCGAGGAAAATTCGGTCGAAGGACCTAAATCTTCGAATCGGATCATTGAGAAGCCTCGATTGAGGATTGATGAATACTGAAGAACCGATGAATGGATTTCAAATTTCGTCGGTGTCCAACATGACCATTCAGCGAAACTGATCCGGGGCCGTGACAGGATTGTGGGATCGTAGGCTCCCGCTTACGGATTAACTCAGCGATTAGCTAGGATCCCGACCGCGGTTGCACATTGGGGCTCGCTCGCTCATCGCAATCGAATCAGAAGTGTTTCAGGTTCGTGATGACTCTTCGGAACGGGAAATATGATCGAGCAGAGCACCAATAACAGCAACATCAACGGCGATACGGCCCTGAAATCGTCATCAACGCACGGCGGTTTTTCCCTCCAAGGATGTGATGCCGCTAAGTGCTTTGTGAACCCAATGAGTTGCGGAAGTAAGTGAAAACTCGCTTCTCTGTTACCCAGACTTTCGGTGATTTTGTCGGTGCTTCTTGACGTCAAGCGGATCAGCAATGAACGAGTGTTTACACCCCCATCAAGGGGCATGACGGATCGTCAGGAACTCTGGATGAGTTTTCCATCGACCTGTCACTCAGCCTGTAATTTGTTCCTTCAATCGATTATGAGTCTTCGTGATTCACACGCGGAATCAGAAGACGAGCCCCTTCGAGATCATCGAACGCCATATCTGCTCGCAGAGGAAAATCGCCCTACTGTGGCGAACGGCTTCTTTTCGCCGAAATATAAGTAACAATAAATTGTTGTTGTGTTCCGTGGCCCTGACATCGCAGCCAGTTCGACCTCTCCGTGTCTGCGCATAACAAACGATCGGCGCGTCACGATCTGCTTTTGAGCGGAAAAAAATCAGTATCAATCCCGTCTGCCTATTTCCCTTCCTCTTGAACTCCTCCATTTTCATTATTGTCGTCTCTGTTTCCGCTCGTCTGCGGGCTCGTATTCCGTTTCAGCCTAGTTCAGAGAAGACGAGCCGCCACGCTTCACTCGTCTCGTGACGCCGCCGTCTGGAATCCTCGCGCTTGACGCTCGAAATCGCCGGCACGATGTTGAGATCGGAGGAAGCTCCTTCTCGTTTCCTCCTTGAACCCCTTGAAGGAAGTCGAGCGGTAGATCAGTCGCGCATCTTCGGCGAATGTTACGAATCATCCTCTGGCGCGAACTAGATGTACCCAACGGTCAAAAAGAAAAGCCGGAGCTGGATGACACCAAGGTTTTCTGATCAAGCAGAAGCCAGCGTGCCCAGCCACCGCGATCGCCACGTGATCGAATGAAGCGCAACAAATGCCAAATCATAGTTCTTGTATCAGGCTTTTGAATGCAAAAAATATTGTGGCCAGATCTTTCGACTTGGAACGACCTTCGTGCCACTTCGTCAATTCGGATATTGCGGTTGCTTCGGACTGATCTTCTCTTTTTTTCTGAAAGGGCCCACTCTTCCTCTTTTCGTGGCTCCTCGTAGTCCTGATATATTTCTCGTTCCATCCACATTATTTAGCCTCGTCGCGGAAAATTCTCACCGACGGCTTCAGTTCCCTGTCCGTTTTTTGATAATTCTCGACTCCCTTGAAGTAATCAGACACTCTCAAAGGGAATCGAG